TAACAAAAGGGCACTCTTTTTGGATGATCTTAGTACGAAAAGGGAGACGGATTGGAAGTTCTAGGGAGTTCACTAGAAGGTCCTTTTGCGGGGACTATCTGGTCTGAGGATGATCCTTGGTGGTCCCTTGGCGAGAGTGGCGGTAACGTGAGGAAGGCGGTCTCCAGATCTAGATGAGGAGCGTCCTGAGTATTTGTAGGGCCTTCAGATAACATGGGTAGGTTTAAAGAATAGAACCAATAGGAACGAGCACGTATGACAATGAAAGGTAGAATGACGCAGGAAATTAGCCAATCAGTAGCGAGCCCGCAAATAGCAGTTTCCATCGGCCGACAGGAGTAAAGTTCACAGGTGACTGCCTCACGCTGTGTCGGTGGGTGTATGTATGTGTTTGTTCGAGCATCGATTTCGATGTCGGTGGGTAACCGGTCGCGCGCTAGGCATCGAGGGTGACTCATTTGGCTTAAGAAAACAGTGGCTACATCTGTCCGCTGGGAAGGAACCCGAATGTAGCCGCTGGCATGTAGGGGTCGTAGGGTTTGTTTATCTTTAGGGCATGTTGTAGCGCTTAAACCTCCAACAGATTGTGAACTGGCTGACATGATTCTGCTGAACTTGAGCCAGGATTAACCATCTGTAAAGCAAATCAGTCCGGCAGTAAAAAAAAAATAAGGGAAGAAAATCTTGCTTTGTTTAAGATGAAACATCATAAATTTTCAGCGAAAAATGGCTCCATTCACGGAGAGCAAAGAATAGGTTAAGAAATGGGTCATGGTAAAAGGTAAAAGGTTATGTAATACTCGAAATTCAAGTTTTACACGATATCCACATCTACTATGGAGACAGATTAGCTTTCAACTTCTCAATTTCCGCTTCTTCACACGTGAGGTAACGCGCTAGGAATTGAGAGTACCGAGTGCTGATATGCTGATGTGCGGCAAGTCATATGATGGAAGCCAGTGCTGATATGCTGATGTGCGGCAAGACATATGACGGAAACCTCGACGCATGGGACGT